CCAGCCCTCAGGCTCAGCTTTCCTCCAGGGAAACAAGGCTAAGACCCACTCCTCAGCCTCGTAGGCCATCTGGGGGTGAGGTGGTGGTGGGGTCACATGATCTAACAGGACTTTTCACTCTAGGTCGGCAGAACCTTCCTTCCCGGGGATGCACCCCTTTTGGAAGTCATCGAGAGACAGAAAGTCAGCAAAAAACGGTGCCGGAGTGGGTGGAATGGCTGCTGCAGGCGTCCTCCGAGCCGTAGAGCTGATGCTCTTTGCTTATGAAAATGCCCGGGGCCCTCACGCAGGGCCTACCGGCTCCCAGGGGACGCACCCGCTCTGACCTGCTGACGGCAGGGAGAAGAGCTTCGTGATAAGAGAGGGGCAGACAGCCTGTAAGAGGCACAGGCAGTAATTAGAAAGCAAAGGGGACCTCGGTAACCCCCGGGGGAACCCAGAATTATAGTCCCACCTGCTCCTGTGTGGTCCAAATGAGCGAGTCATCAGGAAAGGGGGAGCAGCTGTGCCCTGGGCCCGAGAACTCAGGGTGCGTAGGAAGGAGCCCTGGCAGGGAGATTTCTATCACAAAATGCTCAAAAAGATTCTTCTGTTAAAGGAGGTAAGTTACAGCTGCAGAATACGAATGCCTGGAGAACAGCACCCCATGACGCTGCTGCGCCCCGGGCCGGAGCCTGGGAGGGGGAGAGCTGGGCTTGTGTGAAAATCAGAACCTGGAGTTTAGATCCTGGTCAGTCCCCTCCCCCACGGAGGCGTCTTCTAGCTGCATCACTCACCAGTTTTCTTGCCAGGTTTTTGGGGTAGAGGGGACCCTGTTAGAATGCTGTCTCTGCCCCCCCACCCCTTCTAGGGGTGTGACCTGGGGCAAATTAGCCTCTCTCGGTCTCTGAAATGGAGATGGTGCCCTCAGGTGCGCTGAGATGCTGGGGAGCGCTCAGCTGGGGGCCCGGTGTAACATAGCCCCTAAGTATTAGTTACCATGGTGACCTTGCCACTTGCTGCTGACTTTCAGAAACCACTAGTCCCCCCAGTCTTCGTCTTAAAAAGAGTCACTGCCAAATGCACGGGGACATTCCAAGGAAGGGAGGTGTCAGGGGGTGGGCTGGTAAAAGAGGCAGCAAACCAGATTGCTGACATTCAAGCCGTTTTCTGCAGGACTGGCCTCCTCCTGCCCCCTGAGGCCAGGCCACAGTTCCCGGTGGGGGTCTCCTCCCCCATGTTCTCCGAGGTCTCTTCTCACAATCCTCCCCGTTCCCCAGGCCCCGCCCCTGCTCCCCGGGGAGGCCAGACGGTGGGTGGGGAACCTTCTCCTGAGCTCACCGCCTGGGTAGAGGCAACACCAGCTGAGGCACAGAGGCCTTTGGGAGAGATTTCCTTTGCTCAACTCACAGAGGACACAAACTCAGGGCGTTCTTGTTGTTTGGTGTCTTTTATTTTTTAAACCCACTCGTAGTTTGGGTTCAGCTGGAAAGCAGGACACACCGAGGGAGGGGAGGTGCTGCGTGAGCAGGACCCGCTGCAGCTTTGGCCGAAGCCCCAGGCCCCGCTCCAGGGCGGCAGGTCGCACCGCGCCAGGCTCCCGCCGGCTCCCATGAGGCCGCAGCCCCGTGTGCAACTGTCCTCAGTGGAGAGAGCCGTCTCCTCTCGGGCCCGCACCCTCCCAGGCCCCGCCAGGGGCTGCCCAGTGGCTGGGAGTCAGGTCTCCCTGGGCCCCGAGAGCCTGCCATCCAAGGAGCCCGGGCTGGTTTCTGAGGCCACAGAAGGCTGGGGCTTGGCCTCCAAGGAGCTGCTGCTCTGGCGGCCTGCCTGTCGGGGCCAGCCCCCTGCAGCTGCTGAGGGCGCGATCAGTGGTACATTTCCCACACCCCCTCCCCATGCCCCTGGAGAAAAATAAAATAAGGATAAAATAAAGATTAGAATAAATACCGATTCGGCCAACATTTACATTTACACGGACGGACAGGACGATCCCAAACCCTGCAGGTTTACAGACGGTTCAGGAAGGACGCACAGACGGAACTGGTTTGGAGGAGCACTCCTCACCGAGGACGGTGGGCCTCCGTGCCCAGGGGGTGAGGAGCCTTCTCGGGGCAGCGGTCCCAGAGCTCAGGCCGAGGCCGAGGCGGGCAGGCTGGATGCCCGAGAGGGGAACGACGCGGCCTCGCCTTGACGGCAGGGGAGAGACAGACAGAACCAACACCAGACGCCGGACTCGGCCTCTGCAGCGCCGGGAAAGCCATGGTCGGGGCGAGGGCGGGCGCGAACCACGCCAGCCCTAGAAATACCATATCCAGTTTGGCCCCTTCAAACACATTCAGAGGTCAACTTGGACATGGCCTTCCTCACTCAGCAGAGGGGGGTGGGGAGGGGCCTGGCCCGGAAAGGGGGGGGTGTTTCTGGGGGTGCCCACACGGTCCCCCCCGCCCCCGCCCCAGTTCCCATCTGAATGGTCTCTCATGGAAAGCTGCTTCAGAGTCTGAGATTTTAGCCTTTAATGTTATTTCCTTTTAAAAAAATGATTCTTTTTTTTTTTTTTTTTTTTTTTTTTTTTTAACGTTTTCCTTCCACATCGGAACAAGGAGCAGCGACCTGTTTTTGAAAAACAGCTGAGGTTGTTTTCCGGATTGGCCAGGAAGCGCTTTCGAGCAACGGGATAAACTAGGCAAATCACGTCTGGAGCCACCGTGACACGACAGGTAATTAAAAATATATTTATATATGTGTACATATTCATAGCTCACTTCACACTGGGGTCCTGACAGGCAGGGCGGGGGTGGCCCTCAGGCCGGACCCTGAGGGCCGGAGGAGGGTGCCACCTGTCCCGGCTCTCCCCGGAACACCAGCGCCTGCATATCTGGGGCCCTGCGTGAAGCTTGCTCTCTGGGCCGGGGTGGAGGTGGGGGACCCCACTCTCCTGCCTTCTAGACTTGCACCCCCACTCCTAGGCCTCTCCCTTCCTCCTGTTTTATTCTCGGCAGAGGCACCCACACGCATACCCATGTGCATGCACACGTCTGCACACACACCCACACGCACTTGCACATACACTTAAAGGAAGCAAGACCCATTTCAGCACAGGTGTGTCTCTGAGGCCTGGCAGGATCCTCCAGATCCTGACTTCCCCCGTGTCCTCTCTGAGCCTGACCTCAGCCCAGTTCTTCCCTCGAGGCCTCCTGGGGGCCTCTGGCGTCCCGGCCCAGGATGGGCCGAAGGTGCGGGCTGAGGCGGACAGGCGGGAGGAGGAGTGGGGGGAAGCTTGGGAAGCAAAAGGCAAAGGCCGGGCCACGAGGGTGCGGGCTCCTTGACAGAGGCACCTGGCCTGCTCCAGGTGAGCCTCTGCCCCCCCAGGCGCTTCCCACCAGGCACGAGCTCCCATCCCGGCTTGAAGGCAGGGTGCAGCGGGTGGGAAAGCCACCCAGTACTGGGGAACCTGCCTCCTCCACCCCCTCCCGGCTTGCCTGCTTTCCCAGACTCGTGGTGGGCAAGGGGGAGCCTCCTCCAGCCCTCACCTCATGCCAGCCTGACTGGACCGGGCAGCCAGGCCGCCTCCAGGGACCCGGAGTGACTGGCCTCGGCGAAGGAATCAATAAGGAAGCTGCTGGCTGAGGGCACTTTCTGGGGCTCATCACAGTGTGAGCTCCTGACCCTGGAGGTGTGTGTGTGTGTGGGGTAGAAGCTATGCAGGTGCTAGCGACAACAGCTCAGAGCCCGACCCCCGTCGCCCTCCACAGAGGAAGCTCCCAGGACCCAACTCCTGCAGGAGCCCTGCCTTGCTCGCAGCCTGGCACCCCTGCCCCGTCGCCTGACCGTCCTGCTTGTGACTCAGTGAGCAGCCCGTGGGCGGCAGTGCCCAAGCCTCCTGGGCACGGGGACCTGGGCTGTGGGAGGGCTGGGTCCTGGGTCCTGCCTGGGATGCGGCGAGGGCAGTCACACAGCCCATGTAGTTAAACTCTGAGCCCCCCGCCCCCCCGACACACACCCGGAGGTTGGGCCAGGACCTGTGTGTGGGGGCAGGAAACATCCCCGAGAGTTTTGGTTTTGTTTGCCAGCCTGTGCACCCCAGCGTGAGGCGTCAGCCCTTTGAGAGCAGCGGGAATAGAACGGAGGTGCCCAGGTTCCACCGCCCCCCCCTCTCCCCCCACGGCCAGACGTTTCCAATCACCGTAATTGGCAGCTGGCAAGCTGTCTGTGGCCAGGAGCCTGCAGCCACAGGGGGTGGGTGTGATGTCCCCCTAATCAGGGGTCCTCATCGAGACTCTTTCATTGAGAGAGGAGACTTCAAAGCAGCTGACTTTGGAAAAATGTAACACAATGAAACAAAAGAGTGCAAGTGGAGCTACAGACCCCAGCTCCCGCCGGCTCCCAGCCCAGGCCCGAGGCGTGGGGTCTGGAAGGAGCCTTGGAAGCGGGAGTGGGGGGAGAGAAGGGATGCCTCTGTCCCCGGCTCAACCGTGCGGACAAAGGCCGGCCGTGACGGGCGGCTGGTGGGGACCGGGCCTGCCTTTGTCCTCCCGGACATCTGCTACACGTCGCCTGCTGCCAGTTGGCGACGGCGGCTGACAGCATGCGGGAACAATGCTCGCCGCTCCGACCCACTTTCCAGCCTCCGAGGTCCTTTCGGACCCGCGGCGCCCTGGTGCGCCGGCTGCCCGCCGGAGGAGGCGTCGGGGGATGCAACCCCGGCACAAAGGCCCGCGGGCTCCTCGCTGGGAGGCGCGGGAGGGAGGGGGGAGGGCCGGGCCACCGTGAAAAAGCGACATGCTCCCCTGACTGGGCGGCCGCCGCCGCCGCTGCATGCTGGGGCTGGGGCTCGGAGGGAGGGGGCGGGGGCGCATCCTGGGCTTCGGTCCCTTCCCGCCAGGCTCCAGACGGGCCTCCAGCGCTGCCCGCCGCCCCCCGTTTGTTCCTTTCCCCGGGGCCACCCCTGTCCGCCTGCCTGTCCATCTGGCCTGCGCACCGGGGCCCAGCTGCCCGCGGGCCGCCCGCCAGGCCGCCGGCTGTCAGGCTGTCAGTTTCTGGATGGTTCGGTTGTAGTACTGCGTGATGGGGGGCGTCAGGGGGTTCCAGCTGTTGGCGTGGAGCTCGATGACCTCCAGGAGCAGCGACCGGGTCAGCATCGACTCCGAGGGGCACAGCATCTTGTCCCGGGCGCTGGCCAGGAGCTCGGTCATCATCTCGGGCAGCTGCTCCTCCAGCAGCCGGCCCGTGCTCTGCAGCTGCGGGCAGAGAAGGGGGGCGGTCAGGACAGGACGCAGGCCCGGCCGTGGCCCCGGCCCGCCGTGGGTGGTGGGTGAGCTGGGGCAGGGGCAAGAACTAGCTGTGCTATCTCAGGAAGGTGCAGGCCGGGCCTTGGGGACACAGGGAGGGTGGGGTGCGGACACAGCCCACTGCGGGACCCCACACTGAACCGCCAATTTGTTGGCAGAAGGAAGGGGGCCTGGAACACTGCCTGCGGCCCAGGGCCGAGAAGAGCCCTCACCAGGAGCACGACGCGTCCCCTTTCACCCCCGAGCTCTCCTCCTACAGGAAGCCCTCCCTGACTGCTGCCCGCACCCTCGCCGGCTGTGACCGCCCCCTTCACAGGCCCCCGGGGCCGCCCCGGGTTAATTTTCACTAGCTGGGCTGTCTCTCTAGAAACGAGCTGAGTCACTGTTACCTGTGTGTGTCCATGTGGAACCCGAGAGCTGAGAGCAGGATGTCTCCTATTTCCCTCCTCCCTCCCGCTGCCCCCGCCCCACCTCCCCACCCGCAGCGCTGACCTCTGCCTGCACCAGCGACATGAGGGAGGAGAAACACGCCTGGGCAGAAGGCCAGCCAGAGGGCCCCCCCTCCAGAGAGAGGCCCCCAGTGACCTAGAGGGAACCCCAACCTTCTGAGCCGTGCACCCCACGGCCGGCAGCCCTTGCTGGTTCTCTCCCTATAACCGCAGCCACCTGCCACCTCGGCCCCCCCCCCCAGCCACCTCCCACCCAGTGTGCAAGCCTCTACCTTCTTCACAGAAGTTTTCTGAGCCTTGTGGGCCCACCCTGACCTCTCTCCCTGGACTCTCCCGTGAGGCGTGCCCTGTACCCACAGTTATTCTACCCACTGCCCACCCAGCGGGGGGTGTGCATGCACAGTGTGTGTGTTTGTGTGTGTGTGTGTGTGTGTGTGTGTGTGTGTGTGTGTGAGAGAGAGAGAGAGAGAGAGAGGAGAGAGAGAGAGAGAGAGAGAGAGAGAGTTATCTAGCCTCGCCACACCAGAAGCTGTGAGGGCAGGGGACCTGCCTTCTCCTTTTCCCCGCTCTCCCTGTAGTCACCAGTGAATGGGGTGACTGTCCGACACCTAAGGCTGCGCTCCGGGCTCCTGCACTCCAGCCTCCGAGATTCTCAGGAGCAGCCTTGGCAGCGGGCAGAGCACCTGAGGGGTGAGCTCACCCAGCCTGGCGATCCCGGTGGCGGGATGGACGCCCCCCGCCCCTCGCTGTGCTCCCCTTTGAGTGGCTCTGGGCTGTCTCCCGAGGGCAAAGGTCTGTCCCCGTGACGAGGCCAGAGCCCGGGGTCTGCAGACAGATCCTAGAGGGAGCGTTTCCACGAGCCGGGGCCACACCTTGGGGACGGGCCTGGCACCCCCCGAGGGCTGTTCTGCGACTCGGGGATGCAAGCCTCAGGCGCTTTCCCCAGACTCCTCAGCACCAAGGCCCAGGGTGATAGCAGGGGACAGGGGTCACTTGTGTGGTGTGCCTGGTGGGAGGAGAGGGCGGCCTTGGGGACGAGGGGAGGGACATTGCCAGCCTGGAGGGGACCCTCTCCGTGGCCAGCAGTTCTCCGCCCCTCCGGCCCTCGGTGGGCAGGCTCCCCGTGAACATTCACATCCCACCCGGGAAGCCGCTCCCCACCAGCCCGCATGCACGCTGCTTACCTCCATGGAGCAGCACAGCACGGCGTCTTCCTTCACGTCCTGGGACTGCAGGAGCTGCGGGGCGGGGGGAGACCACCTCAGTGCCGTGCTGCCGAAGCCAGCACCGGGACCACGGCTCAGGGCTGTCTCCAGTCCCCTGCAGCCGGGCCCCCTCCCAGCCCGGGGCAGCCAGAGTGGGCATCTCCAAGGGTCAGAGGGCACCAGGAAACCAGGCCTTCTTGGGCGGGAGCTGAGCCCCTGGAGGACTGCAGTGGACACAGCCTGGCGCCCCGGCCAGCTCAGAGCCCACGGCAAAGCAAGGCACAGGTGGGCTTGAAGAGGCAGCAAGGATGCCGGGATCCCTGGCGGTTACAACTGGTCAGTGAAAATCCTCAGCGAGATGGAATTAGCTTCAAGACTTTCCGATTGGTGAGCAGGGGCTCGGCCGTGGTCTTGGGTGCTCCCGGGCCCCGGCTACAGGAGGACTTCTGCCAAACCACAGCCCCATTGGCTTCCTTAAGACCAGAGCCTCTTCCTGGCCAAGGCCACGGCCCGCAGCCCAGCACCGGACCTGGCCATGCCCCCACCGGGCTTCCCTCCACTGCCTCGTCTCTTCTCAATCTCTCTCTCCTGCTTTTCTGATTGATGTAGAATTCAGATAACGCCGGATTCACCATTTTTAAGCATACGGTCCTGTGACCTAGCATATCCATCACGTTCTGCAGCCATCCTCCCTAAGTCTAGAATCTCTTCGTCGCCCCCAAAGGAAACCCGTGCCCATTAGCAGTTAGTCCCCTGGTAACTGCTAAGCTCCTTGGTCTCGATGGATCTGCCTTTTGTGGACAAGTCAGGGAAACAGGGCCATCCTACGAGAGAGCAGTCTTCTGTGGACGGCTTCCACTTAAGGAGACGCTGGGAGGCTCGTCCACGCGGGGGGACCCTGGAGGACACGGAGTCCGTGAAACTGGCCAGTCACAGAAGAACCAGTACCGCAGGGTCCCCCCGCCAGGAGGGGTCACGTTCACGGAGGCAGAAAGGCGGGTGCTGGGGGCTGGTGGGAGCAGTACCGGGAGTTGCTCTGGGATGGACACAGGGGCTCAGGTTGGGGGTGACGGGTGGGGGTGATGGCTGCCTAACCATGGCCCCTGAACGGTACACGTCAGAACGACTAACACAATCCATCTTACGGTGTGTGTATTTCACCGCGACAAAAAAGTGTGTTAAAAAGGTGGTGGCGGGCGCAGGCACTCTGGGGGGGGGGGGGGGGGGCGGGGCAGGCCGCCCTGTCCTCTGCCATCACTCTGGGGAAGGAAAGCCGTCCATCTGATGGGGAAGGCAGGGCTGCCTGCCCTGAGGGTTGCGGGCCCTGGGGTGAGGGGGAGGAGCAGCCTGCTTGTCAAAGTCTCAGGCACAGAGAGGGGTGTGGGCGGGCTGGGGCAGGCCAGCCACCCTCGCCCTCGAACAGCGAAATGTGTTTCTTGGACGAGAATCCAAGGCAATTGTGCGAGCCCACACAGTGTTTGTTCGGAAGCTAATGCATTCCTGTCCTATTGTCTCTGCTGGAGTCTTGTTGTGGGCACACCCATCACATCCTCCCTCGGGGAGAGGCCGAGGTGCTTGGAGTCAGGCTGTGGGAGGCCCGACAGCAACTGGGGAGAAAGGCGGCCTGGTGGGAGCATCCCAGCGTCCCCGACCGAAGGTCCACAGGGCATGGGCATGCTGCCCAAGGCATGCCCAGGATGGAGCCAGGCTGGTTACTTGGGATGCCACCCCGTGGAGAGGGAGAGAGGGTGCTGACGGAAGGACCCACGGGGCTGCCTTTGTGTGTGGGAGGCAAGGGAGCGCTGGAGACAACAGCTTTTTCTCTTAGCGGTGAGGAGCGAGTGCTGAGCTGGGGCAGGTGGGCGAGCCCACCCTGACCAGCAGCTCGCCAGCAGCACGACTTCAGCCTTTAGAACCAGCCCGAGCAGCCTGCCACAGCAGTGAAAGCACGGCCTGCTACCTCCCAAGGGGAGCTGGGGGCAGCAACAAAGGAGCAAAAGTGAGGACATTTCATAGCACATGTCACTGCCCGGTTTCTGGGGAACAATCCAGAGTTAGGATTGGCTGGCCCAGTCTGCAAAGGGCCAAGGCTGAGGCAGGAGGAGCTGAGAGTGAGGAAGAAGTCACAGGGAAGAGGAGAGAGAAGGGACAGGAGTGGGAGGGGGAGGACCGCACTGGCCCAGGAGGCCAGAGCCACGGGCAGCATGGCTGATGGAGAGAGAGGGGAGGGAGGATAATGCGCAGAGGCAAAGGAGATGGCCGTCACATGGCACGCGGTTTGGCGAGGAGGGGCTGGGGTGGGAGCTGCACAGGACCACCTGCCTCTGAGGAGCGCCCTCACATAAGAGCCGGGCCTCTCCCCCGTTCCCCTGCTGGACCTGGATGGGCGCCTACAGCTAAATCTAGGGGAACCGAACCGATACCAGGCTTGCGTCGGCAGAAAGAGGGCCCAGAGGGCCAGGCTCTTCAGGAGGCGGAGAGGCAGGGAGCCGAGCTGGAAGAGGCTGTCATCAGAGTGTGTGGCAGGCTCGGCGTCAGCAGACCCAGACCCGCTGCTCACTGACAGGAGCCCTGGCATGCCACGTAGTCACCCTGCACCTCAGCCTCCTCGCCTGAGAATGGGGATAATACCTGCCTGGGTCTGTTTTGAGAATCTACCGAGATAATGCATGTGGAAGAGCTTTGAAGAGTACAAAGCTTGATTCGAATACAAGGTGTGATTACTGCTATTAAATGAGTATCTTCGTAAGCACGGATCCTCCCTGAAGGTCTTGCCACGCTTTGTACACACCAACCCGCGCAGCCCCGTGCCTCGTGCAGAGACAGGGAAGGCCCCAGGTACTGCTATCTCTACTCAATCACGTGGCGAGGGCGAGCTCAGCAGTTAAGTGTCTTGAACAAGCCAGACAGACAGCAAGTCTGAGGAGATCTAAAAGATGCACAGAAGTCCTGGGTCAGCATCCTCTTTCTTGGAGAATTGTTTTCATTTCTCCCACATTAGCTAATTCCCATGTTCCTGGCTGGAGCTCGTAAGTCTTAATTTTGACAATAATCAACCTGGGTCTTCACAAAAGTGAATTGATTTTTTTAAAAACTATTTTGTGTCTGCACTGGCCACTATCTCTCTATCCATTCACCTATTTATCCACCTATCCATCTGTACACCCACTTACAAGTTATTCATCCACCTTTTCACCTACCCATGCAACCATTTGTCCACCAATGCATCCACTTATCTGTCCATCCTTCTGTCTACCCACACATCATATATCCAACCTTCCATTCCCCATCCATTCTTTAAAAAAACACACATTTTATTTATTGATTTATGAGAGAGAGAGAGAGAGAGAGAGAGAGAGAGAGAGAGAGAGAGAAGAGAGAGACTGATTTGTTGTTCCACTTATTTACACATTCACTGGTTGATCCTTATATGTGCCCTGACTGGGGATCAAACCTGCAACTTCAGTGTATCAGGACGATGCTCTAACCAATGGGATACCCAGCTAGGGCTCATCATCCATTCTTTCATCCATCTAGTTATCCACCCATCTATCCATTCACCTACTTCATCCATCCATCCATCCATCCATCCATCTATCCATCCATCGATCCATCCTTCCCACAACATTTGTGCAACACCTACTATGTGCTAAATACTGTATAAATACAGGGATTAACAAGACTATAAGACTTGCAACTTATAGTCTAGTAGGGGGAAATCAAGAGAGTGTGCTAGGCATGTGGCATTGGAACACAGGAGGGCTGCTGGCGGTGGAGAACGCGCCAGGCATAAGGCATAAGAAGCAACATATGGCATATGCACAAAAGCTAAAAATGTGGACTAGCAGCGTGCACTGGTGAATAACAAGTACTTCAAGACGCTGAAATATATGGTGCTGGGGGGAGAGAGAACATGATGGTAAAGAAAGCAAGGGCCACATCCTAAACAGCTCTAGGTGCTGGGCTACTAGTGTGAATTTTATCCTAAGGGATGAGAGAGCCACTGAGAGATTTTAATCCGGAGAGTAGGAAGATAATATTTGCATTCTGAAAACATCCTTTCTTGCATAGCATGGAGAACAGACTGGAGCTGGAAGGGCGGAGGTGGGACTAGCGGCAAGGAGACCAGTAAGATGATGAGAAATGATGAGTTGATGCTTGAATTGAGGCAGGCGCGATGGGAGGAGATTTAGGGGGCAGAAGTGAGGGTGAGGACAAGGACAATCTTGAGGATGGACAGCCCCCAGGTGTAGGGCTCGGTCAACTGGATACATGGCGGCGCCACCAAGGATGCTAGGAAGGCAGGAGGCGTTGGTTTGGAGGAGTGCAGATAAACTCAGTGTCAGAAATACTGAGTCTCTGGCCCTCGAGGGTATCGGGGAAGGTGACTAGTGGGACGCTGTATTTGTGATCATCAGTGCCCAGGCGTTAGTCAAGGCCATGAATGTGAGTGAGACATCCTGGGGAAGACAGAATGCGTGAGAAGAGGATAAAGGCTCCAAACTGGGAAAGAGCTACATCGACAGGGTGGGAGAGGAGGAACCCTCCGAGATGGAGAGGACTATCAGAAAGCTCAGGGGAACAGGAAGAAGTGATGTCATAGGAATCAAGAAAGTCCTAAGGAGGACAACGTCAACCTTTCCAAATTCTCAGAGAGGTCAAGGGAGACGGAGACTGACCAGGGCTCTCAGGATATGGCGATCAGGAGACCCCGGGTGACCTCTGCCATGAGGACGTCAGTGCAGGGGGAGGGGCAGGTGGGACCCTGGGTGAGGTGGGGTTGGAGGGTGAGGGCGGTCAGCAAATGGAGACTGAACGAGCCCACCATTTCGTTCTTTTTCTTTGGGGTTTCTGTTCTTTCTTCTCTGTTTCTCCCTCTCTCGTTCTTTCTTTTTTTGGGGAACTTGTCTGAGGAAGAGAAGAAGGTAAGACGCTGGGAGAAAGACTGGCAAAGGGTCAAGGGGAGAGGTGGTTACAGCAGGGGACCCTGGAGCAAGTGTGAAGGCTGGAGGCAGGGACGAGCGGGCAGGATG